CTACAAGAATAGCGAGTGTTCTTAACCACCGAACTGTCTCTCCAACCCCCTTAATATTAATTTTGAACCTGTTTTATACTTATCCTGTTTAATGGAACACCTGGCTCCTAATTATCATATTTTCTGAAGATATTGTGTGTTTGTGTTCATTTTGCTTTTGAACTCTGATCTTCATTTTTCTCCCTTTTCTGAAACTGAATCCTATACTTTCTTTTTTTTAAAAAAAATTAAATTTGTTTTATTTTATGTATATGAGTGTTATGTCTGCATGTATGTAAGTATACCTGTGTTGTGCATTACTGGTGAAGGACAGAAGAAGGTGTTGGATCCCTTGGAACTTGAATTAGGGATGGTGCTGGGATTTGAACCTTAGTCTTTTGTAAGAACAGCCAGTGCTCTTAACTGCTGAGCCATCTCTCCAGCCCCTGAGTCCTATAATTTGTATTAAATTAAGTTGAGATAGTTCTTCTCAAATTCTGATAACCTCCTGCCAGTTAGAAACTATTATTGAAAAGCAACATACTGGCTTGCTGAAGGACTAATATATTAGTGTCAGGAATTGAGCCCTGTGTTTTCTAACTAAAAGAACAGTGTCATTTCTATTTTGCTGATATTTGCCACAACCCTAATTTTCAATTCCTATTTTGCCTGGACTGTTCTTTTTATTTTGGCTTATTATCCTTGTGATTTTCTTTTCTTCCATAAGCTCCCTTGGCCATGTTCTATCATAGTAACAGAAAAGTAAGTAATACACAGACCAAAGAAACAATTGCATCCAAGTCAGCTTGGTGAACCAATGATATTACTGAGGCTCTAGAAGCATGGGTGAGGGGTGGCTGACAAGAGTGTGGAGGGTTCAAATGCAGCTGCAACATTGACAAGCTCACCCAAGCGTGGGCAAGGACTCACCAATGCTGTATCCCAGGAGCTCCTGGCACGACATGCAGGCAGCTGGATCAGCAGGACAGTCTCTTCTCCCCAGTAATTTTTACAACTTTATGGAACTGTGGGGAAGGGGCCTTGTGAATCTTGGAAGTTTCAAGAGATCCTGAGCCTTGTAAGTTTTATTTCCTTCATGAGTTTTATGAGCCCCACTTCTTCCTTCTTGATGGATTACAATTAAGCCATAGCAAACAGCCATGCAACAATATGTTGTATGTTGCACAGTAGAGCACACAGGAAGGGATGAGAACCAGGAGAGACATCATCAAAGACTAAATCCTGGAGCAGAGTCTTAAAAGATCAATATATGTTGCCCAAAGGCACTAGAATTTGACCCTTTTCATTTACAACTGGGTCAAGGAACATCACTCAACAGAGGGAACTATGTAGAGGAATGGATGCCAAACCTGGCTCCACACACCTGCACCAAGGTGCTTTGACTCTCCTGTGCTTGGCTTCCCTCTAAATTGTCTCAGTCTTCCAACATTTCATCTGGTTCCTCAGCCAGGTTTCTTCCCTGGACTTGTTGTGCCCAGAGAACGGACCCCCAAGAACAACCACAGAATCCAGAGGGCTTGCAAGAACAAAGAGTCTTTATTCTAAGCTCAGACTCTCAGACCAAACTAACATTGTAGGTCCATCTGAGAGCCCGTTTGCAGGGGGAGGGAGCTTTTTATAGGTTTCAGACAAAGGGCGGAGGGGAATAACAGAGTCACATCTTGATTGGTCCAAGGAGCCTGCACGCACCAACACACTTTTGAATTGATTGGTTATAAGGGATGCAGTCCTGGGGGCTTCTCATTGGTGGGTGCTACCCTCAGAGCTGTGGAATGTGCTGACTGTTATCTGTAGATCCAGAAGTCTCTGTTTCTACCTTATAAGGCTGCTATATGTCTGGGCTTGCATGACCTATAGCCTCCTGGGGTGGGAGTAGCAGGTGGAGATTACGACATGCCTGGGCATGTTCAGGTTTGCCTGAAACAGTCAAAATGGGGTCAATATAGTTTGTCCTTTCAATCAAGCAATCAAGCACTTTACAGAAGTGAAAAAGAGCAGTTAGTCCTAAAGAGGGGCAGGGGTCTTGGGAGTCCAGGGCAGGGGGCCAAGGAGGAGGGCTTCACAGACTTAAGAACCACCCTTGTCGTAAATTAGCTTGTTACCGCTTGGATTTTTAGAACTGAGGGAACAGTACCCCTGAGTGCTTAGTACCCTTTCAACAAAACTGGCTGGGGTTAGTGGCCACCCACAGTCAAACAGAGTAGCTGCAGGCAGCTTCTCTGACTTCTGTGCTGTCCCTTGTGTGGCATATTATGTCCTAATTTAAAACAACACAAGACTTTCCCTTTACAGTTTTGGTGAGCGTGATTTCTAAACTAAGTGACACCTGGATTCAGTGAGAGCTGAAGCAAAGTCTTTGGCAATGAGGCCAAATTCTGATACATTTCACTGAACTCCATGGACCAAGCAAGTAAAAGGATCATGAGTGTTTCTCAAAGAATGGCTTATAAACTTCCCACATCAGAACTACCTGAGGAAGCTAAATGCAATTCAAATTCAAGCTCATTTTATAATCCTATTGACTTCCAGAAATAGACTCTAGAAGGCGAATGTTGAACACTCACAAGATGTAATTCAGATGGAGATTAGGTTTGAGAAGGACAGTATGAGGGTATTGTTTTATTTTAAATATCTTTTTCATAATCTGTCATATTTATGTTTTTCATTATTCAGTGGTCCATTCAATTATATCCAGAGGAAAATGTGTTCTAAGAGGTCCACAGAACACTAAATAAAACAAACAAGAAGTACATCTCAAATATTTGAGCATGCAAACACTGTGCTTGGTTTTATGTTTGGACATTTTTAAAACTGCATGAGTTAAGAAAAGCTTGTGTTTTTATTATCCAGAGCACGTATTTACTAATGCTATTCATTTTAAAGCAGTGGTTTTGCTAACCAAGAGTCCTCAGCAGCACTGCAAGGAGGGGTGTGTCTGGCACGGAGCCCAGGTGTCATTAATGATTGACTCCATAAGTGCTGCTATTAGGGTGTGTTCATGAAAACTTTTGCTTTCAAAGACAACTTGTCTGAGTAAGAGGTGCTATTTTTGCATTTTCTACTTTTTAAATTTTATTTATTTTTATTTTTTATGTGTATAAGTGTATTATTGCCTGCACATATAAGTGCACCCATGTCAGACATATGCCCATGGAGGCCAGAAGAGGGCATCAAATCCCCTGGAACTGGAGTTATAGACAGTTGTTAGCCACTATGTGGGTGCTGGGACTCAAACCCCAGTTCTCTGCAAGAGCAGCTAGTGCTCGTAACCTCTGAACCATCTTTCCAGTCCCTCTCCTGGCATTTTCATCAGGCTAAGGAACTATATTGGTGAGACTAGATCACCTTGATTTGGAGTCATGCAAGGCTGTGTGGAAGTTTACCCACAGCTCCCTGTCTCTCCTAGAGTCTCTCTTCAGACTTTTAACTGGAGGTCTTCATTCCTGCTGTCCATATTTGAACTCTATCCTATCAGCTCTGGATTATCACAGAAACTTCCTGACATCCTGGGTTTTACTAGTAATCATGTTTCTCAAATAATGTATCTCACTAAGTAATGAGGCAATGTGTTCTCATTGCTCAAAGGGTCAAATTCACAATTTTCACCATCCCAGTGGCTCCTCCCAACCTTTGCTCTACTTGACTTTTAAAAGTCACATGCAGTCACAGACAGATTTTTCCACACTGAGTGAAATTCAGGGAGACGTTCATGGATTTCATTTCTTAATTTATTCCTTAAAGGCTAGTGGTAAGTTTTGCAATGAATTGACATTATGAAACAGTTTTGGCAATTAGATTACTGTGTTAAGGAACTTCAGTGTGACTTCTATTGTCTGCTGAAACTTTATGGTGCAGACTGAACATGCCCAGAGGTATTTCTGTCACTTTAATCTTTTATATACATTGCTCCATGATTTGAAGCTAGGCATACCCCCAAATCTACTATCTTTTCTTTTAAAACTATGACCTTCAACTGAGCATGACTCAAAATAAAGAAATCAAAAAGGGCAGGCAAGATGGCTCAGCAGATAAAGGAGCTTGCTGTCAAGCCTGATGTCCCATCCCTGGGACACAGAAGGAGAGGATGGATTCCTGAAGGTTGTCCACTGACTCCACAAACAAACTTTGGCATGTGTGAGCCCCACCCTGCATAAATAAATAAATGTCAAAGAAAAAACCCCAGCATGATCAGAAATGGGCTCATGAACATGTAAAAGCCCGCTTAATAAAATAAAGTCCTTAGGGCACTGCTTTGAGTGACTCCCCAATTTGCCTTTCCTGCTGTATGTAAGAAATCTTTCTCTAGTATTTTATGCCCTGGCTTTATTTTATCTTTGCACTCATTAGAATTCAGACTTCAGTGCTGCAGGAGGATCAGAAGTTCAAGGTCATCCTCAGCTACATAGGGAGTCTGAGAACAGCCTGTGCTACAAGAGACCCTGTCTCAAAAAGAAATTTTATTTTGAGCCATATAGCAATGCATCCAAAGCCCAGATGCTGCCCTAAGTACACTGCCCACTTTGGGAAAGTTCAGGTGAACTCTGATAATAAAAGGAAAGACAGGAGAATCCATAGGTTTAAAAATATAGAGAGCATTAGGAGGTGGGGTTTAGCAAAGGGGGGACTGCTGTATTCCGTTTTTATCAAATTCCTAGCTGGGAGGGGGTTGCTGGAGGTGTGTTAGGATTAGTCACTCATTACTGGAGGTTTTTGGGGTTTGTTTTTGTTTTTAGACAGCGTCTCCCTGTAGCCCCAGCTGGCCTGGAACTTGCTACCTGTGTAGACCAGGCTGGCTCTCAGGCTTTTTGTTTTCCTCACACCTTGCATAGGTCCTGGAGACCTCCCTGCCCCCTCACAGTAATGCAGGCCCCCAGAGGTCCATCCTCAAGCAGATTAGCATGCTCCTAAACTGACTTCCGAGGTTCCTATTCCAGGGTGGGTTGACGCAGTCAACAGCCAGGGTCACACCTCTCTGTCCCAGTCCCCCAAGCAGGGTGACCATGGTGTCCCTCTTCTCTGGCCGTGTCTTGATCAGAAACAACAGCAAGCAGGATAAGTTGGAGACTGAGGCCAAGTTGAGCCACAGGCTGGAGAACTGGCTAGTGCTGCTGTTTTTCGGCCCCAGGTGCCAGGCCTCTGCACCCACCCTCAAAGACTTCTTCTTGCAGCTCACAGACCAGTTCTACGTGCTTCGGGCTGTGCAGCTGGCCCTAATCTGCGTGTCCCAGGACCCTACAGAGGAGCAACAGGACCTGTTCCTCAGAGACAAGCCAGACTAGTGGTTTTTCCTGCCATTCCAGGATGACCTGAGGAGGTGAGCCCCAGGAAAGGGCAGGGAGGGCTTCCTGGAAAAAGGGCGTCTCTATGGAAAAGGAAGCAGGTGTGTACGGCAAGCATGCCAACCCCGACCACTGTCCATGTATTGACTGGGAATTAATGCAGAAGGTGGGATCCCATTTCCCACCATAGCGCAGGACTGTGACAGCCCACTGAAGGAGAAAGATGTGATACATACATGAAGGCAGCCAGAGGTGGTGGTATAAACCTTCTTTCCCAATACCCAGAGATGAGACAGAGGATTCCCAGGAGTTCAAGGCCAATCTGGACTACAGAGTGAGAAGTCTCAAAAAGCAAAAATTAGCTGGGCTTGGTGGCACATGCCTTTAATCCCAGCACTCAGGAGACAGAGGCAGGCAGATTCGAGAAAGTTTGAGGTCAGCCTGGTCTACATAGTGAGTTCCAGGCCAGCTGGGGCTACAGGGAGACCCTGTCTCAAAAAAAAAAATCTAATTTTAGAAAGAACTATTTTGCAATAGTGAAGGACTATTTTGCAATGGAGAAGGGTTGGGCACTGGGGTCAAGAGACCTTTTAGGAAGGCATGGCCATCACTGGCCAGTGGGGCCAGCCCCAGCTACGCCTTGTGGACTGGGCAATGAGAGAAGATGTAAGAAAACAATGGAAAGGGAGACTTTTGAGACAGCCCTGAGGCTTGTGTGTTTGATGCTTTTTACAGAGGTTTAAACCACAGATGAAGAAGGCTTAGGGGCCAGGTGGGAGGGGTGGATGAGAGTGACATCAGTTGGAACATGTTGAATTCAAAGTCTTTTATTAGGCAGAGGGCTGTATTTAACTGGGAAATGGGTTTGGGACCTAGAGGTGAGATCATTGTCACAGAGAGAACAGCTTTGGAGATTATCAGTCTGCAGGTGGTAGCTGAGGCTATAGGAGTCGGGACAAGGCTGCCTGAGGAAGGGGTGAAATGTTGCCTTATGACCCCACGTGTCTGCAGTCGTATTTACATGCTTACACACACACACATACAGACATCATACTTGCTATATAATACACACACACACACACACACACATGAACCCGATGCCATACACACAAAAGCTTTATAAATTAGAGGGATCTAGAGAAATGCCTCAGTGGGTAAGAGCACTGGTTGCTCTGCATAGACCCTTGGGTTCAGTTCCCAGCACCCACATGACAGCTACCAACCGTCTGTAACTACAGTTCCAGGGGATTCAACATCCTCTTTTGGTCTTCGTGGGCATGAGTGCACTTGCAAACATGCAGGCAAAACACTTGTACATATAAATTAAAAATAAATTAACAAATACAAATTTAAATATCAGCTGTAACTTAAAAAATAAAAGTCGAGGAACAAATGCACAGAAAGATAATCTGAGGAGTCCCAGAAAGTTGAATAGCTTATCTGGAGTGGTTGTGGGCTGAATGAGAGGAAGAGCCCAGGTGTCTATGGAAGCTGAAACGCTCCCGTTTTTCAAGGTATTGTGGCAGGTGTGGCCTAAGGGAAATATCTATTTAGCTTCTGGTAAGGCAGAAATCACATTAGCATATTAGGAAACCACATCACACTGCTGACTTTACTGAGTATGATGACAAAGTCCCCAAGGCTTTCACATGTGCTACTCCTGAACCATATTTTCAATTTCCTATTTGTGAAATTAATTACTTTTTGGGGGCTTACAAGTAGAGCTTTTGAGGACATTTATGCCTATTAAATCTCATCTTGTTAGACATGGGCTATGTGGCATGTTTCAGTGGACAGACTATATAAAGATGCAGGTTTTCATGTATACACATTTTTTCTTTACTCTCAATAAGACAGAACCCAGAGAAATTCTTGGTTAATAATAAAAAATAACACCATCTGTTTCAAAGTCCACATCCCCATTTTGTCACAAAGGAACTTTGTCCTCCTTTCATAGCATTCTGAGCTGCCAAAACGCTTTGGTTAGGCTGTCTTCTTGCCTGCCAGGATGGAATGCTAAACTAACCTGGACTAGACAACAGGGGCAATTGTTGGAACAACATGGTGCAGGCATGGCTGTGATGGTTTTGCTGTTCATAGTTTGGCTGTGCCTTCTCCTCTGTGTCTTCCTCAACTGACTTCATTTGAGGTTGTAAACTGAATGGCACTAGCAGCAAGAGTGCCCGAGTTTCTGTGTCTGTCCAGAGGGAAGGTAGGGAGAGGAGAAAGTCTAAATAGAAGACTGTTGTTTGAGTCTTATTAGGACAACATCCTCCATCACCTCTGATTTGCTTGGGAGGGAGGGTTTTCTTGGGACATAGAATTTCCCTTGCTAACACAAGGAATGTTCTGCATACACAGAGCTAGTTTCTTTTCCAGCACTTATATCTGGATCAGTAATCATTGCTAGGATAATGCCTGAAATCACTTGCTTCAACCCAAGGCCCCTGGTAAAGTGGTCACTCATGACTTGTTTGAGCATCTTTCCCATTGTGGCTCTAGTCCATTTATTTGACACACCCATCCCATTCCATCTTCTGTATCCTATTTCTGTACAGCATCCTGATCTTCTACACTGCCTTGGTTAGGATGATTATTTTCTGTGGGGATAACATGCTACATTAACACTAAGAACACTCTTCATGCACAGAGGAAGGGAGGGTTCTAGACATGGCTCAACCATATTTAAGGTGCCGCTTTGCTGTCACAAAATTTGGGCAGATTCTTGGATCTCTAGATCTATGGGTTCAGACTCTCTGAAGAGGGAAACCAGAAATTCACTCTACAGATGTTATTCCTACACACTAATGTTTGGAGAAACAATGTTATACACTGAATATTGCTTACTCCTGAAGCAGGGGTCAATGTCTCAGATGGTGTGGCTAATTCTACAGTCAAGCTGGTAAGGGCAGGATGCTAGACAGACCCACATGACACACACCTGCCTGATTTCTTGGGTTTCCAATAAAACATTCCTGTGCTCAGAAGAGAAGGAAGTTGATTTGAGATTCTTAATAAATACCTACAGCTATGTTTGACAGCAGCTCTTAAATTTTTTTCCTGGAGTCAGCATCAAACTCACAAGGATTAGTATGTTGAACCCATAACCATTTTTTAAAGTTTCTTCTCATTTAAAATATGTTTTATTATATTTTGTGTCTATATGAGTGTATTGCCTGCATGTCTGTAAGTGCTCCCATGTTGTGCAATGCCTGTGGAGGTCAGAAGAGAGTGTCTGAATCCCATGGGACTGGAGTTACATACAGTTGAACCTGGGTCTTCTTCAAGAACAACCAGTGTTCTTAACTGCTGAGCCATCTCTCCAGCCCCAGTTTCTTCTTAATCTATTTAGTCTTTGGGAGGCAACAAAGATTTAAGAGAGCAAGCAGTGGCTGGGCAAATTCATCAAAGAATCAGAGATTTGCTCAGCATGTATTGATCCATCATTTCTAAAACTTATTATCTGAATGGTAGAACAATTGTACTACTTACTTTATTGGCTACTGAGAGAGTTAAATGAGGTAACATTTGTAATGTCTTGAGACAGGACCTGCCTCGTTAAGCAATCAGTAAATTTTTCCAACCAAGACCCTGCTTTCTTACTCATCCATTGTTGGAGATATTCTGAGTAGCGATTAGGGCGTCCATCATTAAGACAAAAAGCAGTCCCTGAAATGAGGGAACTCAGAATATTCACATTTAAATTATGATAATACTGTGACAGAAGTGCACACAGGTCAGTAATGTAGGAAAGAAGAAGATCATCCCTGAGAATAATGAGCCTTGAAGAAAGATTAAGTTTTCTAGATGAGAATGTTAGAAGAGGAAAAATGGGGTATTCAAAGAAAAAAATGAATGTTGGGGATGTAGCTCAATTGATACAGGGCTTGCCTAGCATATGCAGAATCCTGGATTCAATCCCCAGTACTGCATGAACTATATGTGGTTGCACATGCCTGTGATCCCAGCACTCAGGAGGTGGAGGCAGGAGGATCATAAGTTCAATATCATCAGTTATTGGAGAGTTAGAAACCAGAAGGAGATGCATGAGACCCTGTGGAAAAGCAAGGAAAGAAGGGAGGGAGGGAGGGAAGGAAAGAAGGAAGGAAGGAAGGAAGGAAGGAAGGAAGGAAGGAAGGAAGGAAGGAAGGAAGGAAGGGAGGAAAGACTGGTAATAAAACTGTTCATAAAAGCCCAGAAACTTTGTAATTGTTAGCAGTTTTGACTGAAGCCCAGGGTTCAGGTTAGGTGCAGTGATAGAAGATGTTAGTGATGGAAGATGTTAAGGCCTTCTGGAAGACTTTGAACTTTCATTCTAGAGACAGAGCAACGTTTAAACAGAGATTAGTCACATAATCACACCCTCCACTCTGAGGAGGGTGGGTGATGAGTTGTTGGGTAGTTAACGACCTGTAGCAATTGTCCTGGTGAGAAGTGATGAAAACTTAAACCAAGGGAGCAATGTTAGGAAGAGAGTGCAAAGGGTGCAAACAAGAGACACGGACTCCCTATGAACAATGGGGTTTTGTGGTGAGCAGTTAAGAATGGGGAGATGGAGAAGAAGATCTGAAGGGAGTCTCCAGTTAGTGTTCTGGGAGGGTTGTGGTATCATTGTACAGATAAAGACTGGGAAAACAGCTTGTGGAGCCAAAATCTGGACCTGCTGAAGGTGTGCCCTGGAAGACTTCAAGGCAGAGAGGTGCAGTATATCACTGGCTCCACAGGGCTATCTGGGGAGTGAGTTGGGCCAAGGGACTGGCCCTCTGATACAGGGGTCTGCAAGTAGCAAAAGTTGCCAGAGATGATGCCTCAGTGGAAGGGTGTGGGTTGAAATGAGTACAAGAACCACAGAAACGGGAAATTTTACCAAGGTCTTTGAGATGGCCCAGTGAGATCAGTGTATTCCACTATCCAGACCAATAAACTAATGCACCATAGCTTTGCAGTCCCCCTTTCCAAGATCTAACATTTTAATTCTGTATCTCCCTCAAGAAACAGGT